GCGGGGGCGGTGCCCGGGCGCGGGGCGGGGCGGCGCGGGGCCGGCTAAAGCCCGGTCGGCTCCCCGCAGCCTGCACCAGCGCGCAGGAGCGCACCTTCTTGGCGGTCAAGCCGGACGGCGTGCAGCGGCGGCTGGTGGGCGAGATCCTGCGGCGCTTCGAGAGGAAGGGCTTTAAACTGGTGGCGCTGAAGCTGGTGCAGGTGGGGGCGCGCGCGCGGGAGCAGGTGGGCGCAGGGTACGCGCAGGCGCAGGCCACCTGTCCCCTTCCTCCCGCAGGCCTCGGAGCAGCTCCTGCGGGAGCACTACGCCGAGCTGCGCGAGCGCCCTTTCTACGGCCGCCTGGTCAAGTACATGAGCTCGGGGCCCGTGGTGGCCATGGTGAGTGCTGGCAGGCGGAGGCGACTGGAGCCACGCCCCGCGCTGACGCCGCGCCCCTCCCGCCTCGCAGGTGTGGCAGGGCCTGGATGTCGTGCGCGCCTCGCAGGCGCTTATTGGGACCCCGGACCCCGCTGACGCCCTGCCCGGTACCATCCGCGGGGATTTCTGTGTCGAGGTCGGCAAGTAAGGCCTGTCTGGAGTCCCAAAGACCGCCCTGCCCAGCCCGACTGCCCTGGTGGCCCTCACAGCGGGAGCCACCTGGGCCTCATGTGCGCCCCTCCCGCGCAGGAACGTGATCCACGGCAGCGACTCGGTGGAAAATGCCCGCCGGGAGATCGCGCTGTGGTTCAGCGCCGCGGAGCTGCTGTGCAGGGAGGACAGCGTGGCCGCCTGGCTGTAGTCAGGTTCTGCCGCTCTGTGCCCTCCAGCTCCCTCCAGCCCCCCGGACGACGTCTTTCTGCAGCGGGACCTGGAGCCCAGGCACCTGGAGCCCAGGGCGTGGGATGGGAGGCGGGGAGTGCCTGCCCGGCTGGGTACCAGGCCACAGGCCTGGTGTGCTCAGGGAGGTGCAGGTGGCTCAATGTGGCCATTTACAATAAACGGGCAGACTGTGCCGCACTGGTCGTGTCCAGGGACAGGCGAGGCGTGGTGTTAGGGCATTTATTACATGGAGCAGGTGTGTGGGTGCACTTGCAGGGGCCAAAGCCTGAGGAGAGGTCACCAGGCCCCTTCCCCCAGCTGCACCCACCCCCCCAACCCAAGCCACTGCACGATCCTGTGGGACACGAGGGCCTGGACATACATCACAGTGGAGAGGTGGCAGGCGGTGGGGAGAAGCCAGCAGCCGCTCCAGGGCCAGCTCCCCAAGATCTGTGCTTCTCTGGTGAGGGGCATGGGCAGCAGGGGCTGGGCTGCCTGGCTCAGTGCCTCCCGGAGCAGGAGGGCAGCCTGGGCAGGTGGGGAAGTCGGCCAGCAAGGCCGTCCACCCGGGAGGGCGGCTGTTCCTCACCACGCCTAGAGCCTGGGCAGGCCTGTCCTCCGTTCGCACGCCTCTGCCTGGCTGTTGAAAGCTTCCGCCAGCAGGCAGCCCTAGGCACTTAGCGTGTCTGGGAGCTGGGCTCCTTTGGAGCCCACGCAGGAGGCAAGCCCCAAGAGCAAGCCATCCCTTGTCAACCTGAGGGCCAGGGGCCTCCCCTTCTTCCTGAGGCCTGGGCCTGCCCTGGCAGCCTGAGAAATTCCACCCTAAGGGCTTCCGGGAGGGGCAGGACTCCAGGGCGACAGAAGCCTGGGGGACACAGTGACGGCTGGTGAGGCTCCAGGCTCCAGCGGTCACCTGGTCTCGTCTCAAACAGCTGCCCCAGGGAGTTCATGCCAGGTCCCCAGGTGAGGGGACGGGCAGGGGCTGAAGGAACAGGCATGGGGGATGCCCCAGAGGAGGCACCTCCCTGGGCAAAGGCTAGTCACTGGCCCTGCTCCCTTAGGCAGAGCAAGGGCCTGGCAGATGGGGGACCCTACCCCACAGCAGCATGCAAAGGCAGGGGTCTCAGGACGGGAGGACTTGGCAGCATGGAGCCCCTGCTTTCTGCCAGAGGGGACCTGGGGAGTGGGGAGCCCAGGGCTGCCCCCAGCCACCTCAGACCCCACCTTGCTCTGGCCCTAAGATGCCCAGGGGCTTGACTGTGGGCTGGGGCCAGCCAGGAGTTACTGGCTCCCCCTCCCAGCCACCCCAGTCACTCCCTGCCAGCTGGAGGGCCTGGACCTCAGGTGAAAGCTGCAAGTTGAGAGGTTAGGGGTGGGCGGGGGCCTGGCTGCCTGGAGGGGGAGGGCAGGTGGGCGGGGCCTATGTACAAGGCAGGGCGGGTGGGCTCACTTAGGGGTGTCGGACTGCCGCCAGCCGGGAGGGCGGGCCTATGTGCAGGCAGGGCGCTCACTCTGGAGCGTAGGACACCTGCCACACGATGATGTGGCTCCGCTCCGCCTTCGACAGCATGGGCTTCACCTGGCTCATGTCTCCTGCACTGTCGTCCGTCTCGTCATCTTCTCCGTCCCCTGGAGAGAGACCGTCACTGTGAGGGCCGGCTCCCACGTGCGGCCCAGCCACCCCAGCCGCCTGCTCACCGATGCGGAAGTCGATGTAGCCCTCCCCGCCGCTGAGCACCAGAACATTCTTCAGCCTCTGGCCCTCCGCGTCTGAGGCAGGGGCGGCAGGCCCAGGGCTCTCTGATGGGCTGTCCAGCACGCTGCCGTTGAGGGTGGCCAGCACATTCCCTAACGGGGCAGTGGGACTTCAGGCTAGTGGCCGCCCTGAGGGAGACCACCGTGTGCGGGCGAAGGCTGAGAACTTGGGGAGTGGGGGCGTGGCGTCTCACCCGGCACTGAGACAAAGAACTTGACGGCATCGCGGTGCCCATGGAAGCAGAGCTGGGCCTGGGCCATGGAGCAGTAGGGGATGAAGCTGCTGGCCGACCTGTCACTGCAGTCGTCCCCGTACACATGGATGACGCCCCCTGGGCGGGCCCCCTCCCCAGATGTGGGGGATGTCTTGTTGGCTGGAGACAGAGAGGAGCCTGAGCTGGCAGGGGTGGGGCAGGGGGCAGCGCCCTAGAGCTCCAGCAGGCGGGGTGGGCGGGAGAGCACCCTTCTGGGCTGCAGGCAGGCCGGCCTCAGCCACAGGTCTGGACTTACCTCGGAGACCCAGGAGCTGGCCTCGGTGCAGGACCACAGCTGGGGAAGAGAGCAGGGCAGGGGAGGCAGGGGAGAGAGGCGGTCAGCGGGAGGGCAGGGGGGTTCTTGGTGGCCGTCACCACCGTCAGTCACCACCGTAGTGCCCCAGGCGCACTCACTCTCGGTCAGGGGGATGGAGATGACGACGCCGTTGCCGGTGCCCACCCAGAGGCGGCTGCCAGCGATGAGCAGGGACGTGATACGCACGAAGGAGAAGCCCAGCTTGCCGGTGCCTGCGGGGACAGGGGTCAGCACCAGGCGTGGGGCCGCGCCTGCCACCCCACCCACCTGGTGCGGCCCTCACCCAGCATCTTGCTGACGTAGGGCTCGATGTCCACGTCCTGCAGGTGCTGGTGGGTGTGGGCGTGGTAGAGCCGCAGGGTGGAGTCCAGGCGGATGGACACCCACACCCCGTCGCCAATCCACGCCAGCTGCCGCACCTGGCTCTCCCGCCTCGGGTGTGCGTCGAACGACTTCTGTGGGGCCAAGCAGCCCTTGGTGGGTGCAGGGCAGAGGAGCGGGGAGGGATCGGAGCCTGCCCAGCCCTGGTCACCCTGGCCGCTTCAGCCCCCCACCCAGCAAGCGGGGCCCACGTAGCTGTTCCCTGGCACGCTCCAGGTGCTGAGTGGCGGTGACAAAGGGCAGGCTCCAGATGCTGGCGCCCACTTGGAGGGGACAACTCCGAGCCCGAAGTCCCCGCTCGAGCGCTGGCTCAGGAAAGCACACGGCCAGCAGGGCCCCGCGGCTGGGCACGCACCTCCACCTGCTTGGTCTTCGGCTGGATCACGTGCACCTTGTTCTTGTAGCCGCACCAGACGCGGTCGCACACGACAGCCATGCAGCGGATGGAGTGGTGCGGGTGGCCCAGATCCATCAGGTGGTAGTTGCTCAGGTCCCACTGGCCATCTGGCAAGAGCCCACAGCGGCGCTCAGCCTGGCTGGGGTTGGGAGGACCAGCCTGGGGACCCAGGGAGCCCCGTGGTGGCAGGGCTGCCAGGCTCTGCACAGTGCCACCAGGCCTCACCTTCACCACGGTGGAAGATGGCCAGAGTCCCGTCTGCTAGCGCCACCAGCACGCGGCCCTTGACGTGCCTAAGAGGAGAGGGTGCTGAGTTGGGCTGGAGGGCAGGGGTGGGCAGGGGCGGCACAGGTCCCCACCCAGCCGGGGCTGGCGGTCACGTACACCAGGCTGAGCACGGAGTCCTTCAGCTTGATGGAGTGCAGACACCTCTTCCAGTTGACCACGGCAGAGTGCACGTAAAGCCTGCAGAGGAGCCCTGGTGGGCCTGGGCTCGGATCTGCCTGGCCACCAGGCCTACCTGT